ATTTTGCCGAGATCGCGCACGACAATGATGACGTTCCCGTGAGCGTGGGAGTCAATGATGGTGTCTACACGGCCTCGGAACATTTTCGTTATTTTGCCGTGATCGCGGTCGATGACGATGACGTTTACGTGACCGTGGGAGTCAATGATGATGTCCACACGGCCGCGGAAGATTTTCGTGATTTTGCCGCAATCGTGGATGACGATGATTACGTTTTCGTGATCGCGAGAGATGGCGATAATGTATACATACCGCGGGAGATGTCCAGGATTTTTCTATGGTAACGTAAGACTGTGATGACGTTTACATCACCGTGGGAAGCGACCACACGACCGCAGGAAATATTCAGGATTTAGCCGCCGTTGATAATGTGTTCATAAAAAATGAAGATAATATTCATGATTTTGCTGCTATCGAGAGAGACGATGTTTCCGTGGACTTAAGTAATGATGATAATGAAAATTATTACTATAATATGGATTAATACTTTTTCAACACTAGCTCACTGGACTTTGAAACAAATTTAATGTAAGTTTATATCGTATACTTAGGCGGCAAGTCTTAGATTGATTATAGTTTAAGTGGAACCAAACAAATACGCGGGAACCTGGAAAAACTTGGAAAAACCAGGAAAAAACCTGGAAAAAACCTGGAATTTCACTTTAATAAAATAGTATACACCCTGTCATCAACTTTATTCGTAATTAAATAGACCTAACGATATAGTTTTACAATCGGCATTGTCAGCACATCTCATTGTCTAGAAAGAAAAGATAAAGAAAATCCTATTAAAATACATAGTTCAAAAAGTTTTCTGTCGAATAAAATGCCTCATCCTTAGCACTTTTATACTCTGCGGCACACCACACAATGTTAACTGATGCACAGGAAGGAAAAACAAAACCACCTAGGCCTAACCACACCGGCAACAGAAAGTGAAATGAGAGAGGCGAGGTAATACCGAGTTGGGCCGAGCGTGTTTTGATCAGTTGGCAGCACTGGACAGCGCCGCAGAGTATGAAAGCTCCCATATAACGCAAGGCACCTAGGGGCCGCTTGTTTCTGCGGCTCCTAAGTGCACTATCGTGCATCTAGCCAGCCGCAGAGTATGAAAGCACACATTTAGCTCAATGCAACTTACATGGCCGCAGTGGTGTCCAGTGTGCCGCAGAGTATAAAAGGAGCTTTACATATTGGTAGGCCTACAAAATTCCTTAAATGTAACATTTTTATAATATATTAGGCAATTTGTTAGTATAATGAAATCTTGTGGTAATATATAGCCTACCTATTGATATATTTATGTAATCAATAGCCCACTATGTTTGCCTATCTTTGCCTCCGGTTATAAGAATAAGATAGACTAGATGAATTTGTATTAAAAGTTAAAATTTTTTTATGAAAAACACATGGGAAATTCAGTATGCCAAGGTTAAACAAAATTTTACGGCATGATCTTGTGCATATAGAGCTCGACGGCACTAGTATTTTCAGTTGACAACACTAGCTTCTAGCTGTCAGAGAGGTGGTTGGACCAAGGCAACCACATCTCACTTCACGATTTGTAACTGCGTTGTTCACCTTATTGGTATGATTTAATAGTTCTTTAGGGTTTATGAGTTGTACTACAAATTTGTATCTTCTATAAACTTAGTAAAAAAAAGGGTTTTCGTTTTCTCTGTATAACATCCCTTTTTCAGCTGTCCTACTTAACTGTTTTTTACAATTAAGGCGTCAGATTTACGAAGATTGAGGTGTCATTTTAAAGCTTATCATCCAGCTACCCTTAGCTGGATGATAAGCTTTTTTGTTAGGTACCATTGGTCCCTACCAATGGTACCTAACAAAAAAGTTCCTCCTTGTGTTTCTGTTTGTATTTTAGAGTTTACTATCTAAGATCAAGTAATGTTGTCCAACTTTCTAAATCAAGTTTTTAATTTCTATTGTGATTAAACAGCTGAGTGTCACTTTTGGTTTCTACTTAGGCCTACTTATATTTCGACAACGACTTTTCCTACATCGGTACTTTTCCTACTTAGGAAGTAAAACTTCAAACGTCCAAAACCCCAGATTTGTGTGTTTTTTGTTACATTTCCTCCGAATGTTTGCTAGATGTACCGATTATCGTTTAGAGATTACGTAATCTTTTAAATAAGAAACCTTTGTTTGGAAAAAGGTGGTTTCTTCAAACTGTCATTAATATGTTAACATTAAAAGTTGCTTTCAAATAATGCTATTAATGGGAAATAACTTTGATTTTCGAAAACAAACAAGAAATTAAAACCAAAGGAAAATTAATAACTTCGGTACTGCAACAAATCAAGTGAAAGTTTTTTTGAGCAAACCATAGTGAGTTTTTAAAGCTTTACGTTCTTAACGTTATATGTTTTGTGGCCTGTGTATTTATTTATTTATATATTTGCCAAAGGATTAACACCTATAATACAGTTTGATTAGAAGGACAGTGTTTGAATTGGTCGTAAGTACTAAGTTCTTTTCTTAAATGTAAACGTTGGTTTTTGGTACTACTACTTTTCCTTAGAACCGGTGGTAGCAGTAAGAATCATTTTTACGTACAAACACATAACTATTTACAACTATAGTTATTGTTAGTGCTGCACCTAATTTCTTATTAAATTTAATTGAAGTCTTACTGTATTTACAGCTAGTTAGTCCATATAATCTTACATACATTCATTACATACATCTTGGGCCCAATTCATAGCTCAATTTCAAAAGTGTAACTACAAACAACAACTAGACTACAAACAATAAACATTAAACAATTTGTGAACACAAACATATTTAAAATATCTACGTAAAACCTAAAACTACAATATAAATTTCCAAAATCATAACCATAATTATTGTGGATCTTTAACTGGATACTCAATACTGTTGCAACTTAGTTCCGAGGCAATGTTTTAATTTTCGACTTCCTCAGAAAACTTTCGAGTCAAAACTTATTTGTGCGAAAATCCCGCCGATTACGCGCGATCGCCTTTGAGGCAAATTCTCTTTCGTTTACTAAGCGTGATTGTCTCTCACGGTAAAATTACTCCCGCTGACTAGGCCTAAATGCGTGACTGTTTCGGCAAAATGCTACCGGCATGGAACTTATGTACCTACCGTAGCATTAAATTTTTAATTACTAAAAAACTGCCGCCCAGTTAACATGTTATTTTATGGCCTGTTATAATCACTCCTTATTGTATAGATTGTGTAGATTGTATAGATATACAATCAACAAATTAAATCTTTGGCAGTTACAGTAGTAGCTTTACTACATGGTGTCTACTCTCCGGGAAAACAGGGAATCCTTCAGGAATTTGATATCACATTAAAATATCCGGGAAAACTCCAGTAATTAACCCAAACTTTTAGGAATCCGAAGCCTGGTCATTGGAATCATCGGTTAAAAACAGGAAAAAGCAGTCATGGGTTCCCCAATCGCTGAAAACGATAACTGGTTTTGCCGAGACCGCAAGATATCCTCACGGATGTTGCAGCGATCACGAGAAACAATAGGCCTAGTTGATGTCGCCGAGATCTTTTGATTTGCTCACCAATGTTGCCGTGATCTTGAGGGAGACAGACAAAAAGACTTGAGGGAAATCACAAAATATGCTTACGAGTGTTGCCGCAATTGTGAGAAACGATTATCGGTGTTGCTGAGAACGCAAGATGCGGATGCATGTTACAGCAGTTGCAGTAGACGATTACTGCTGACGCCTTATCTACCTGTAATAGCCTACTACGTTTGAATATTTCGTCTCCTTGGAAAGTTTTGTTCCTAAGTGTTAGCCCCTACCCAGTTAATGAATAAAATAAAACAATAAAATTTTTAACGTACTATCCCTAATGTACATTGTTTAAATACAGCAGTTCATGAGTTATGTGATAATATGATGATTTCTGTTAAAAACCTTTTAATAGTATATTACGTTACTAGCCCGGTAAGTGTCGTTTTACCGTGCGAGCACGTGGGATTTTCGTGCAAGTACGTTAAAGCTTACCAGGCGAGTAACGTAGCCTACGATACTTTACATCATAATACACAGAATAGTTAGTTCATTTTAAACGTATAACACAATTCATTTAGGACATAACATAATCTATAATATTTTTATACTACAGAAAATAAAATAGGCTGTTGCAGTTAGCTGTTTATTTCATCAGTTGACTAAGTGCACAGTAAAATGTTTTTACAGTGCGCAGTGCACGGTAAGAGAACAACGTTACTTCTCCGTGTTAATGCACGGTAAAGGGCAACTTTCCAGCCTATTAATACGGATGGAAAAGTACCTGTTTCTGTGTAGTAGCCTATCATGTAAAAGCTTTTACCAAATATGTTAAAGTGGTATGATAAAGCTAAATTTAGGGTTCCGATAGTAGTTCTTAATACATTCAGGAATTTGTCTTGAATAGAATTCTGCTGGAAAACTGGAATTTTTCAATACAGATTTAGTAGACTCACTGTAACTAACTGTCCCTAAATCTTAAAAATGTAAAGGGGTATTGCATTATTCATTTTGCCTCAGAAACAAGTTGGTTCTGAACTAAATTAAAATGCACAATTTGCACACGGGTCTGCTGGTATTTTTCTCTATACTGGTAGCCTATTTTCTATTGTTGGCTAATATATATAAATAAAACAAATCACTTAAGATCAGCTTGTACTCAGATTGTATTTATGGTGTCATTCCAAAGAACAGTGGTGTTTGTGATATTGTTATGGTTGCTGTTGGCACTTGTTTTGTCATTACCACCTACCTTGGAGTGTTGGATTTTTATTCATCCAGCACTGAGGCTATCAAGGATGTGCTTCTTCTGCAGTGTTTCTAAAACAGTGATCTAATGAGTTCTGAGATCTTTGGTGGATAATCTCAAAATGTTCATGTCAAGAGAATATTTAATTCCCCAAAACTTAATCATTTCTAAAGAACTAGATGAAGGTCCCCACCCCATGCTGAAGTCATCAGGGTTTTTATGTGTTCCAGATGGCTTGATTCAGTGGTTGTTACATCTATGGTGTTGTCTCGTTCTCTGACACATCTGTCATCAGGTAGGCTGATTGATTGCCAGTCCTTTGTAGATCATAAAAATTGTTTCAACCTTTCCTTACCACATCCTTAACAGTTACGTTGGTGAACTATCAGATTTTTACATCTATAGAAATATAGAAAAGGGCCAAAACTCTCTTAGTTGTGTCACAATTGTTGTATGAAAGTTGGAATCCTAAAATCTATTTGAGCATTTTCCCTTCTCCTGTATTGATTTGGATTTTATCTGTAGTCAGCATGCTTGGTATTAATATTCTTGGTTTTTGCATTGTTTGATTTGTAAAATATTGCTTTTGAGATCCCTAACCGATTGTGTATTACAATAGACTATCGTTGACGTAGCACGTTTCGTGACTTTAGCAGTGCTGTAGGCTACTATTAAAATGTTTGATCGCTTTGGTAATTGGGTTATTCTATGCGTTCTTCCTCACGATCAATGCACCTAAAATTGACGCAGCTTTGTTTTATGTAATGCATAACGTTATAGTAGTTTACACAACGATTGCGTAAAGATAGTGTTAACGACACGAGTAGAAAATTTAAGGTAAGAGTCATGGCAAGTGCCCTAAAAACTTCTATTAGTGTCGTTTACACTATTTACGCGAGTTGCGGACACTACTCTACCTACGACCCTACTAAAAATCACTACCAGTAGGCCTACTCATAATTGCTAACAGAGGTTATGTTTTTGTTCATAACCTCTCATTGCCGCTGACAGTGATGCAACAAAACATTGTACCAAACACTAATTGCACCACTCAACAATTAAATTGGCCTGAACAGCTGATTAGTTTTGAATTTTGAATTCCCTAAATGATACCCTGTTCAAAAAGATTGAATACAGAATTGCTAAAATATCATGATTTTAAGTTGTACAATGAATTTATTATAACTTATAAGAAATGTGACACTATTCATGTATATATTTCTAATGTACTTGATGAATAAAGATAATTTGAATTGAATTGAATTGAATGAGGCAAACCTACGACGGCCCTGAAGGGACATTCAGTTTCTTTTTGTCTTTCATTCTACTTCGACTTTTATCTCGAAGTACTTCGACTTTATTCTCGAAGTACTTCGACATTATTCTCGAAGTACTTCGACTTTATTCTCGAAGTACTTCGACTTTATTCTCGAATGTGCTTATTATAGTTCGTTATAGTTTTACGGCAACCACAACCAGGGCCACCTTTACTTCGAGATAAAAGTTGAAGTACTTCGAGATAAAAGTCGAAGTACTTCGAGATAAAAGTCGAAGTAGAATGAAAGACAAAAAGAAACTGAATGTCCCTTCAGGGCCGTCGTACAAACCAGACTAGCTTAGCCTTGTTCTACCCCATTTTACAACTAAAAATCATGATATTTCAGCTATTATTTATTCAATCTTTTTGAACTTGGTATCGTTTGATAGGAAAAATAAAAGTGTTCTTGTAATTTTTTTGTATAACGAGCCCTTCTTTAGTAATTTAAGTTTGAAGATTTTAAATTATTTTTAATTTAAAAGAAAATTACATAACTTTTTCCTAATTCTAGACTCAATAAATGTATAGGCCTATGCAAAGTTTGGTTTCCGTAGCTTGAATAGTTCTCAAGATATAAATGGTTTTGCAAAAAACACTAAATGGCGGCTAGCGGCTAAACAAATACTCTTCGACCTATGTTTATATGAACTTTTTTTGTTTAGAATTGATGAGTATTATCAGCCCCTGAAGTTTGAGACACCCCTTTATGATCACCCTGTATATACGGTATTGAATTGTTGACTGTTACATTGATACTGTTACTGTTACTTTGACTATCAGTATCCATATAACTTATTGACATTATTCAAATTAATGGCATTAATTTATATAAGCTATTCAGGGAGACATATAGCTTAGCCATACAAGTTATGTATGTACCTTGTAGTTTTGATTCTATCATCTTATTTTATCAATGTAAACTAATTGAAAGATAAATAAGTTTTGTGTAGTTAAATAACGTGTTGGCGGGAAACTATCGCAAATAACGTATGTTGCCGCGATCGCGGGAAATCATCACGGATTTTGTCGTGATTGCCCGAACTCACCACACTTATGCTGTGATTGCCAGAAATCATTACGGATGATGCTTCGATTACTGGAAATCATCAGGGATCTTGTCAAGATCGCAGGAATTATAATGGATTTTGCTGCGATCGTGAAAAATCATTACAGATGTTGCCGCAATTGGGGGAAATCATCCAAATTTTGCCTTGATAGAAAAACATGCTAGAAATATATAGAAAAAATTATGTGATCACGAGAAAGGTTTTTAAAATTTTTTGTAGGTGTAAATAAACAAGTAAGTTTTGCTTATTATAGCGGCAAGTTTTTACCATGGAATTTCTTTTTTAACCTAAAAACCTGGAAATGTCCTTCAATTTTATTATAATGGAATGCTGGACACCTAGTAGAATACTTTTAAAATGAGTTGCTAAACCAAGACCAAGATAGGTACCGGTACCAGTAATTACTTTCTTAGTCGAATTCTGCCCTTTATTTTCTCTATTTTTACAAATCCAGTATTTTTATGCTAATTGAGTCCATGTTGTTCCAGGAGTGTGGACAGAATGCAGCAGGTCGAGACAACAACTCCTAATAACACAGTAAGATATAAATATTGTTAGTAAGCTTTATTTGTACCAGTTTTAAATATATAAATGGTTGCCCCCTTGCCAATCTTGACTTAAACCTTTTAAAAATAAATAATTAAAAAGCCATTGTGGTTAGAGGCCATTGTATGGTTTTTGTGAAAATCCTTTAATTTCCCTATAAGGAAGTAGCTATTACTGTAGGTCTCATGGTAAGACCTAGGCCCGGGACCGATTTAATGCATGGGCTATTTGTTGTTTTGTGTCAAGGTATAAAGTATGTGTTACCGGTACAATGTATAAGACAACTCAAATAGGATTACAGATTAAAATGCATGGGCTATTTGTTGTTTTGTGTCAAGGTATAAAGTATGTGTTACCGGTACAATGTATAAGACAACTCAAATAGGATTACAGATTAAAATGCATGGGCTATTTGTTGTTTTGTGTCAAGGTTTAAAGTATGTGTTACCGGTACAGTATATAAGACAACTCAAATAGGATAACAGTTGCATGGGCTATTTGTTGTTTTGTGTCAAGGTTTAAAGTATGTGTTACCGGTACAGTATATAAGACAACTCAAATAGGATTACAGTTGCATGGGCTATTTGTTGTTTTGTGTCAAGGTTTAAAGTATGTGTTACCGGTACAATGTATAAGACAACTCGAATAGGATTACAGATTAAAATGCATGGGCTATTTGTTGTTTTGTGTCAAGGTTTAAAGTATGTGTTACCGGTACAATGTAGGCCTATTACAATATTTAGGGATATAATGATTATAATATTTAGTACAATATAGCTTAATGTATTATATTATTAATGAGGAGGCAGAAGAAGATAGAGAGAAGTGGAGATCAGGTGTTGGTGCGGCCAAATCCCCCCTTGGGCATAAATGGCCATGGGTGTTAATGAGAGTGAGTGTAATAAAGCTTATTGGACAATGCAAAGGTTTATGTAAAACCCCGCTCCAACAGATCATGCTGGTTCGCAAACTTGTAAGAAAAATGTAGGTTTACACGTTTCTACCAATTTTTATCAAAATTGGACTATTTTTACTTGATTGATCGTGCTAATGGACACATATGTAAATATTTATAGATGTTTCCATTTCCAAATTGCCTGGACATATTTTGTGGACATGTTCCTTGGGCTAAGCCAACGTACGATGCCATATAAGTATGGGTCTAAAATGCCTAGATTACTGTCTGTCGGTCCGTTTGTGATTTTTTTTAAATTATTTTATATCTTAGGCATTTTTTAAGATAGAAATTACAAAATTAGTATAAATGTGTAGTTTAGAAGGTAAAAAGGGCTTAAAATTTTTGTTCCAATATCTAAAGCCATTTTGTATAATCAAAAAGATAGAGAATTTAAATCCAAATCAAATGAGACCTTGTTTGTTAAAATCGGATGACAAACAACCAAGTTATCAGTTTTTTTCTACATTTGGTTACGCAATTTGAAAGGTTTAAATTGCGTAGCTGAATGTAGGAAATGGTTATTTGTGCAACTAGTGAGCAAAGGGAGCAATTGACTGACTCACTCGAGAGAAATACATACGCACGAGCTGTAGGCGAGTAAGGAATGGTTTCTCGAGTGAGGCAATTGCACTTTGCACTCGAGTTGCACATTATATTTTTCCTACAGTTACCATAAAACAAATAAATTGGTAAAGAAACGTGACATATTTTTACACAGAAGTGAACTTTTAAAATTACATTTAATGATACAACAGTACAACAGCTGACCTGCTGATTTACAGCCAGTGCTGCCAACGTATTTCGTGCACATACGACCTTGTCTGCATGTTGCGCGTTCAATATTTTGTGCCTTCACGTTGCAAAGCTGGAGCGAGTGAGACAAAGTCACTGATGAGCGAATTGGCCACTTTGCTTTCTCAAATCACTGAGAGAACATGTACATTGGTAGGCGACTGTAGGAAAAAACTAATAACTCGGTTGTTTGTCATCCGATTTTAACAAACAATGTCTCATTTGATTTGGGTTTAAATTCTCTATATTATTTATTATTAAAACAATATATTAAGAGAAATATGTACGGTTTTCATGAAATATGCCATCTTAAGATTTTTACCCTTTTAGTGCTATGAAACGATATATCGTTGTTTTAAAAAAAACCCTAAGGGATATAGAGAGGAAGGTTATTTAAAAAAAATAGCAAAACGGCCATTGGTGACCTGCATGTTCATAGGATACACTACCAACCACTTAGCTAAAAGATTCGCCCAATCCGATGATTTCGAGGTGTATGTCTAAACCAAGGATTATGAACACCTCACTATGCCCCAGTGGTTGTAGTATATCGCTACAAACACACAGGTCACCAATTATTTATAGTGACCAATTATAGTGACACACGCTCTAGCCTTCTCGGCTATCTGTGCTTGAAGACTGGGGAGTCAAAACCCGGTATTTAAGCTGTCGCCACCGATTGCGAACAGATGGCGCTGCAGATGGTTGTTCAATGCGTTACTAGGTAGCAGCACCAGCTAGTCACGGACTATTTAGATGCAATCTTTTAGTTTTAGTAGTAGTAAATGTGTTCCTGAGACTTTGCTGCTAAACATTAGTTTCCCTAAAATTGCTATATTACAATAACCTCGTCCAACTAAATCAGGGTTAAATTCAATATTACATTGTAAACTATATTATGTCTTTTGATTTTGTAAGATTTCGGTTTCAAATAATGCTATCAGAACATAAAAATTTATAGGAAAACCAGGAAAATTACAACAAAAACTAAGTTTTATTTGATGTTTACTATAAATACCGGGATTTATCTTTCTTATATATTTTCTTATTGTGTTATTATTCAAAATTAGCCTAATTAATAAAATAGTGACAACATGACAGTTAAAATTCAACAACGGGTAATGGAATGAAAAGGCAAACAAAAAAGTCTTACAAAATATGAATTATTGGCCTAGCACTGAAAGGGTTAAATGGACGCCGTATTGAAGTGGCTTGAGATAGTGGAACACAATTTTGTAAGTTATTTTTACCACTAACTTATACCAATTTTGAAATTTCTGTCTTGAAAAATGGCCAAGATAAAAAATAGGTTTAAAATGTCCCAGGGCTATAAGGGAAATTCGTTAAAATGTGAAAACTCTTAAAATATGTCTTGTCCTAAAAAGTTTAAATTTTAGAAAATAATAAGAACATACAAGGCCTTCCTTAAAAATCCAAAACAATAAATAATACCCCCGCCGCAGCAAACCTGCAGACTAAGCGAATTTCAACTTCTCTGATTACATTTTTACTAAAATATTTCCATAAATAAAGATATTTATTCCCAATTCAAATAACATTAGAATTAACGAGTGCTTAGGTTTGCTGCTACGGGGAAGGTAAAAAGTGTTTTTTGACCAAACGCATTTTAATCTGTAATCCTATTTGAGTTGTCTTATACAGGGTGTCCACCGACCGGGAAAACCGGGAATTATGCGTGATTTTTTTTAACCGGAAAAAAACCGGGAATTATGAGTGAATTTTGTATTCAAACGGGAATTTTTTGCCGCGACCGCGGGAGACAACGATGGCGTTCCCGTGACCGTAGGAGACGACGATGACGTTTCCGAGACCGCGGGAGACGACGATGACGTTTCCGTGACCACGGGAGACGATGGCGTTTCCGTGACCACGGGAGACAATGATGACATTCCGTGCCTGCGGGAGACAACGATGATATTTCCGTGACCGCGGGAGACGATGATGATGTTTTCGTGACCGCGGAAGACGACGATGACGTTTCCGTGACCGCGTGTGACGACGATGACGTTTTCGTGACTTCGGGAGACGAAGATGACGCTTCCGTGATCGTGCATGCTGACGATGACGTTTCCGTGACCGCGTGAAACGATGATGATGTCCAACTGCCGCGGGATATGTTAGTGATTTTGCCGCGATCGCGCATGCAGACGACGATGTTTCCGTGACCGCGGGAGACGACGACGACGTTTCCGTGACCGCAAAAGACGATGATGACATTTCCGTGACCGCAGGAGACGACGACGACGTTTCCGTGACCGCGAAAGACGATGATGACATTTCCGTGACCGCGGGAGACGACGATGGCTTTTCCGTGACCATGGGAGACAACGATGATATCTCCGTGACCGTGGGAGACGACGATGACGTTTTCGTGACCGCGCGAGACGACGATGATGTCCATAAATATTGCTTGAAATGATGACTGCGGGAAATTATTTGAATTAAGCTACAATCGAGAAAGATTATGATAACTTTTTAATTTCTGCATTATTATTTCTCTAGGCCACTTGGAAAACAACCCATTACTCCAAAATTGTACAATATGAAAGTACATAAAGCCAGGGGTTGGTGTAGTAATCCTTAAGAAAATTTGGTAAAATAGAAATTACCAGTATTAAGAATCTATTTTTCAGGTGTCTGTACAGAGATTTGATAAATTTTGGTATCGACATATCACTATTTTTAGGAAGTTATTAATAAATTGCAGGTTTAAGGATTAGTTTTTAATTTTTGGATTGTCTAATCAGTAATACACAAAAATTGAATACTTGTGTCAGGCAATATTACAGCAATCATATTTATTCCCCCTTAACTGAGAATGCTCTTTCCGATAACTAAAATAGCAAGCTGTTTTAGAGCGCTAAAACAGCATTGCGGGAGTTGGCGTAAAACACGTTGGAAATTTTAGTATGAAAAGTACGACCTGAACTACCTGGATTTTTTTTTTTTACTCATGAATTACTCATGATTTTTTTCTGGTTGGCCTGGTGGACACCCTGTTATACATTGTACCGGTAACACATACTTTAAACCTTGACACAAAACAACAAATAGCCCATGCATTTTAATCTGTTTAATCCTATTTGAGTTGTCTTATACATTGTACCGGTAACACATACTTTATACTTTGACACAAAACAACAAATAGCCCATGCATTTTAATCTGTAATCCTATTTGAGTTGTCTTATACATTGTACCGGTAACACATACTTTAAACCTTGACACAAAACAACAAATAGCCCATGCATTTTAATCTGTAATCCTATTTGAGTTGTCTTATACATTGTACCGGTAACACATACTTTAAACCTTGACACAAAACAACAAATAGCCCATGCATTTTAATCTGTAATCCTATTTGAGTTGTCTTATACATTGTACCGGTAACACATACTTTAAACCTTGACACAAAACAACAAATAGCCCATGCATTTTAATCTGTAATCCTATTTGAGTTGTCTTATACATTGTACCGGTAACACATACTTTAAACCTTGACACAAAACAACAAATAGCCCATGCATTTTAATCTGTAATCCTATTTGAGTTGTCTTATACATTGTACCGGTAACACATACTTTATACTTTGACACAAAACAACAAATAGCCCATGCATTTTAATCTGTAATCCTATTTGAGTTGTCTTATACATTGTACCGGTAACACATACTTTTATACCTTGACACAAAACAACAAATAGCCCATGCATTATAAACTGTATTCCTATTTGAGTTGTCTCTTAAATCTTGTCTCACGTATGGTACTTAAAAGAAATCTAAATTTTGTTATAGTAGGCTACGGTACCTATAGAATTTTGGTATACCTGTGAAAACCTGGAATCATCCTTAAATTTTAATATTATGGCTTAATTAAATGATGGCTTACCTTGATGAACTTTTTGTTTAGTAGCATATATCAATCTTAATACATTTTAGACATTTTACTTCACAGAACACAACAAACTCCGCAGTGGTGGCATCGAGACCATCAGAGGGGGCGGTGGCGGCGGCTGCCGGGGGGACCAACTCTAGTGCCAGTGATCCCCTGCCTCGCAAGGAGCCGCCGCCACGGGACGAGCCCCGCTTGGAGCCTGTCAATGGTGTGGTGCAGCCTCCGTTTATCCCCCCGCCTGACCGTCCCGGCCGCAACACCAACCAACTCCAGTACATCGCCAAGTTTGTGCTGAAGCCTGTGTGGAAACATCAGTATGCCTGGCCTCTACAACAGCCCGTGGACGCCAATAAACTTAATCTTCCAGTGAGTATTTTGACTTAGGCTAGTCATTGTGATATAAGAATTAATTTGTTTTGAAGATAGTATTCTTATGGCTGCCTGACAGTAACACATACCACAACTAGAGGAGTTGTTAGTACTGAGTGATTGATAGTTATTTAAGAACTTATTACCTTTTTATGTATGAAGATTGCTTTAATGTGTAGAATTTGGCTATTTGACCTAAGAAAATTTAAGGTCTCAAGACTAATAGACAATAAAAAAGGTAACAAAACATAACTGATATTTTGTCCTACATGAAATAGGATTTCCTTGATAGTTGATCGAAGATTTTGTTTTATTGTGCATCTGCTAGTCCCTCAACTTGAAATTTCTTAACCTGGCAGGTCACACTGAATTGCATAACATGAGGAGACGCACACAGTCTTTTCGACTGGGTGAAATTAAAAAGCCATATTTCAGTAAGCATTATATTTAAATTCCTCAAAATCGTAAAAAAGAGTCTAAAATATTAAATTTAGAACCTTCTGAAAATGCTTAACCCTTTGCACTCTAGCAAAAAAATTTTGGTCCTACCTAAAAATACCGGTACACCGGTGTGATTGCCAGATAGTACTAGCTAAAAATTCCAGACATTTTTACAAATTTTTGGAAGCGTTTAGTAAAATTTGTGTATCTTTTTTGTCTAAACAGATAGAGGCATACTTTTTGTTTCCTTTTATTCTCTATGAAATTCTACATAGAAATAAGTAAAAATAACCCATATCAACTGTAATTTTTTTTTCTTTCATTAATAGTAATAGGTTTTATTTTATATTTTTTAAGAAAAATATTATGTTTGAACGAGTATATCTTAAATTCTCTACTTTAGTTCTGAACAAAACACAGCTAGTTCCATGCACCTACCTTAAAAAATTAGGAAGTATCCGAACCCCAAAATACTCTTATAATAAATTATAGAAATGAGGGTTTACACAAGACTCCATCATAATTCATAACATTATTCTATTACTATTTCTTCCAAAAATCATATTATGGTATTGTAAAAGTAATGTTGCTGAAAAAAAAATCAAAATAATTTCTGTGTAAAGGCCTTTAGCTTAGCACTAACTTTTGTTGAAAACGTAAAATGAAATAAACATTTCCAGAATATTCAAAACGTAAATCTATTCAACCTTAGTATTTTTTACAAAAACTCACTCAAACATGCCATGCAAAAGTCATGAAAAAATTTCTATGCAATCAATCATGCAAACACAAAACAAAAAACTATTTACAAACAGGAATTGTTATTATTTATTTGGCACACAATATGTTCGCCGTAGCAAAGTCCATGTAGTCCTTTACCGCAACTGCAACGAACACATATAGTACGGCTTTTTTTTCTCTAGCCTCCTATTTTTGTGCTAAGAGGACTGTACACACAGCAATTCCTTTCCTGTCTACCAGGTAAAGGTATTATGCCAAATCGAGTCTTGTTATTTGGTCCATAACCATGACCAATGATCTTCCATGATCTTCTTTTTGAGATCTACTAGAATTCTTTTCTTCATACCACTGTGAAGACAGTGCCTCAGTAATCGAAATGGTAAAGTGGTCTTGACATTACTTTTCCGCTGGTATTTTCTTGAGTGAATTATATAAAAATAGTTGTTTAGCCTCCGGATTACTGTATTATACTTAAAATGGTTTACAATACCTGCATATAGTAATCCTTTGTTGCTGATTTAGGCAACTAGTTTCGGTTCTTGTTTTGAACCATCTTCAGGCCTCAAGGTGTCAAGTGATCACTTCATTCGAAGGTCGTTAACAGAGTTCAATAAATAAAACATATACAAAACACGATACACGGAACGGACACACATTACAAAAAACACGAAAAACACGAAGGGACATTGACAAACGATCGTGACCGGGCTGAGGTAAAGTCTACCTCAGCCCGGTCACGATCGTTTGTCAATGTCCCTTCGTGTTTTTCGTGTTTTTTGTAATGTGTGTCCGTTCCGTGTATCGTGTTTTGTATATGTTTTATTTATTGAACTCTGTTAACGACCTTCGAATGAAGTGATCACTTGACACCTTGAGGCCTGAAGATGAATTATATAGGCATTCAGAAGGATTCTTGCAAAAATATTGAAAGTCCCTTTTTTCCAATATTTTAGGGTGTGCCTCTCATCCAAGTAACAATTCATTATCTGATCATTTCAGGAATTTCTTTTACTATATTTTCATTTGTTCTTTTTTTACTTTTTCAATAGACTTGGCTGTATGTTTAAAAGATAATAAAATAACTGGGTTTTTCTGATTTTTTTTCTCTGAAGCCTAAAAATAAAAGATTGTCATTTCTCATGTAGGTTTTTTGGGCAAAGTTGAATTTTTCTTTTAGTAGATGGAATGCCTTTTCTATTCCTTCGTACAGTGCCCATGATGAATGTAAGATTCTCTTACATACTTATGTATGTAGGAGAAAAGGAGAATAGGAGAAAATTAAAATTAGTTAAAAGCTAAAGGGATGCTAGTAAAAAAGTTATCCTTGAAAACATGGTAGCCCTTGTACAGATACTGCCCTATCTCAGTTTGTGGACAACTTATTTGTGACGGTGTTTAAGAGGTAGCCTATTGCAACAACTGAAACCAACAAAACACAAGAAGACGCAAAGGGTGGAATTGACCAGTACATGACAAGAAGATGTTGCTAGACTGAAATGAGGAGGTTAAAGGATGGCCAAAAGTAGGTCACCGTTCCTGGACTAAGGTGTCTTATGCACAGTAAAGGCTCACGATACCAGCACGCAATAAATATAATTTTTACGCAAAAAAGTACAAATTTAGACAGCAATGTGTGCTCTCGCTGGCTAAGAAGTTTCTAAAAAGTATTAATTACTAATCAGCCACTTGGCTTTCTCTTAATATAGAACCAAACCATTTTATTGAAGCAGTTTTGTGAAAATTTAATGATGTTTTAAAGACAACTCACTATTGAAGTTTGAGTCGACATACAAATAGACTAGACATTTGACAATTCCTAATGTTTTTGCAGGACTACCACAAATTAATAAAATGTCCAATGGATTTGGGGACAATCAAGAAACGATTGGAAAATAATTACTATTGGAGTGGCAAAGAGTGCATCCAGGACTTCAATACAATGTTTACAAATTGCTATGTATACAATAAACCGGGTGAAGATGTCGTTGTGATGGCTCAAACTCTGGAGAAATTGTTCCTTACAAAGGTAAGTTTGCTTTCTATGAATATAAAATTATGAATCTTGGCTAACAAACACTTAAACTTGGCGAGTTATTTCCGAAGAATGATTCCATATTAAAATTTATTACTGTGTTGGTGTGTATGAGCCAGTGAATTATTTACTGAAAAAGATTTTGAAATTTATTCCTACCTATACTAATATTTAAAGCTATGGTTTTATTGAAATATGATTAAGCAATGGACAAAAATAATCCTTATATAATATGTGGAGGCGATTTCTAAGAAACACTACTCCTATGTTAATAATGGATGGATTTTTACAAACGATGTTTCAAAATTAAGTAGTTTTTGTGTAGACCTCCCCTTTCACCAATTCCTGTGATAAAAGTCCTCGGGGCTTTGCCCCACATGCCATCGAAATCAAAATTTTTTTATGAAGAAAAGATTTTGTTTACTTAAACAGACGAATAATTTATATTAATTACAGCTGATCATAGTAAACACATGATACACACAAGAGCGTTAGTTTTCAGAGTGAGTTCGTTTTCAGTTTCGACGACTGGAGTGATTGATTACATTATCTTTAAATTGACTCTTTTAAGTAATCAAAAATAATGACTGTTATTCGTTTTGAAATAATACTTTGCAATTGCTCGAATTCGAGCAACAGGTGCACAAGTAGTGTTATATTGCCTGTAATGTTAAAGAGAAAGAATGCTGTCATACAGAAGTTTACTTTGCCCAATTAGGTTGTTTATACTCTTTCAGGATATTATTTTAAGTTTGCTGTGAATATAAAGTAGAACTTTTATCCCAGAAAGTGGTGTTTGGGCCTAATAGCAATCAATATGGAGAGATAAAATCATTTGGGAACTCAAGTGATATTTTTGCCTATTGTGTTCTAATCATATTGATTGTCGGACACTTTTCTGATAGGACACAGCTAATAACCATCCCATTTTTTTGCAGGTTGCTGGCATGCCAAAGGAGGAAATAGAGTTGGACCCGCCACCTCCAAAGGGTCAAAAGAATGCGAAGAAGAAAACGGTTGGTAGAGGCAGAGGAGCCGGGGGTGTGGTGGTGGGAGGTGCGGGGCCTGCGAGGGGTCGTCCTGCCTCTGGTGCCTCTCCTGGTACCATCCCTGTCACCAACTCCACATCTCTCCCCGCCGCGGCCCCACACCTGCCATCTCCCATACCCGGCTCCACTGCTACCACCACCGTTCCGACTACGCATGCCACTCACAACTCTCTACCCCAGCAGGTAACTTCACACAAACAGAATTTGTTTTGTTTCCCTAGGATATTTGAAATTGTTGTCTGATTTGTATAGTAGGTCTTTAAACCATTCCTGGAAAAGCCTGACATCCAAGAAAAGACCTCAACTAGCTTAATCTAGCTTAAATTAAATTATCTTTTCTGCCAAATGAATAAATGATCTGAAATTGAAAAGTCAACTGGTTTGGATTTATGCGAAATCATAAAGAGATTGTCATTAAACACATTTTGGTCAAGACAGGGCAAGCAGATGTGCTGTACGGAAGTTGAGTTCAGAAAAATGATGTTTTGTGTGTCCTAATCAAGTCTTCAAAACAAAGGATGAAATGAAATTTGTCTGAAAAAAGTCCCTTGTAAATTGAAAAGTAAAATAGGTACCTGGGTAACTGCAGGTAAATACAGTAACAGGCAAATTTATTTGTAGGTTTTAATTATTAACAAGAATGAATGATTAAAGTGAGAATGATGAACTTTTTATTTGATTTGACAGAAGAAAAACCACCTCTTCTTTCTAAAGAAGCCTCCTTCGTAGGGATTAACTAAATTGTATGGTGAACTTTCCTGTGTTCTGAAACAGTCTGGAACTCTTTTCTTGGTTGAGTTAGCTGTGCATCAATTCCTTATTCTGTAATATATTAACCTAATCATTTTCAATCCAAGTTGTGTTTTGATAGATAAATTTATACAATATTGAGCTTGCTGTAATTTAACGCAAGTTTGTATGGCAGGTCGCTGCGCCAGCTGTAGGCAGCTACACGGCGCAGCCTGCTGTCGACGTCGCCCCGGCTCTAGTTGCTGGCAACAACGCCGTGGCTAACAGAGGGGGTAAGGGTATCATCATTCCTCCCACGACACCCACCAAAGTAAAAAAAGGCGTCAAGAGAAAGGCGGATAGTTTAACGCCAACACCGCCAGTCACCCCCGTCACCCCTGCAGCGTACGACCCCCTATACGCTCCCGCCGATGCCAAAGCGGCTAAAGTTGGCACACGAAGAGAATCCGGAAGACAAATAAAGAAAGTAAGTATTTGTGTTTTTGTGCTAATGCTAGTGCTTGCTTATATTTAATAGACCAAGCTTTCTTTGAACATAGTTGGATTTAGCAACCTACAGATAGTGATGATGTAAATTACTGAGTTATTTTGAATATGTACATTTTTTACCTACCCAAACTGAAAGGACAACTAAACTTATTGTAATCAAGTTATCCAACTAAACAAGATGTTTTGAAGGCTGCAATGTCTATCTTTGATCCTTTGGGACTAGTCACCCCTACTACAATCAAAGGTCGAATTTTAGTGCAAGTGATTGGGAGAACAAACAACATGATGACTTCAGAATTCATTGTCCTACTTCTGGATATTGCTTTATATTAATTAAATTATTTTGTTACCTTGTAACAGGATATTGTAAGGTAACAAAATAATTTAATTAACATGATGACGTTTCTGTGACCACCGGAGGCGATGATAACGTCTGTACGGCCATGGTAGATAATAATGATTTTGCCACGATCGTGCAAGTCAACGATGACGTTTCCGCGACCGCGGGAGGCGATGATAACGTCCACACGTCTGCGGGAGAGTTATGAATACATAGTAAACATTTAACTTGGAAACAAACTAATTTTTAATTTTCTATAAATTTTATCATTTTAAAATTATTTTGTCCTTACCGCTACCCTATTAGACCAAAGTGTTGAGTATGTATAGTGGTAATAAGCTGTACAATAATTGAACTTTGGTACACAAATATCATTACTTTACATAAATTGTTATTGTGAATGACACTCTGTGAAGAAATGATTACATTCTGTACATTTTTTCTGAAAAATATTAAAGTTCTTGCTTATTTCAATGATTAACACGTTCGCTAGCCATAATTATATGGAATTTACGTTCGCATAGACCAGCGATGCAATTGTGTGTCGACTCGTTTCTCACAATAGACCACCGACGCATATTTGCGTCAGCTGGTCACATTGAAATAGTAGACTAACGACGCACAGTTGCGTCGGTATTCAATGTTATTAATCAGCGTATTTCTTAGCAACGGTCTATTTTAAAGCCCTGATTTTATCGTATCAGTCTAGAGGGATATCTACCGCAAATGTGCGTCGCTTGGTCTGTGGATATGACGATTGGTTACACCACACAACAATTGGCAACATTGTTGTTTACATTGTGTATTCCGCGACATCACAGAACAGATGTAAACGTTATAACCTTTGCAGTATTGGCTAGTGTTTAGTGGAGTTTCTTTATTTGTTTGTGTAAAAGCTTGAAACAACCAAATTTACCACAACGCTTACGTGCGTCGCCTGGTCTATTGAAAAAAATGTTATCTTTTTAACTGGATTTCATTAAATAGACAGACCGACGCATATATGCGGCGTTTAAAAATTTGCTCAAAACGATAAATAAAAACAATATTTATTGCTTACTAATTCACTTAAGGTTAGTATGAAGTCAATAAGTCCATTTAAACAATATTTCTCTTTTGGTCTGTCAGCAATGTTATTCCTATATCTCTTGGTCCGTAAGCAACGTCATGATCATTCCTTTTGTTCTGTAGGAGTGACCGGACCGACGCAAATGTGCGTTGCTTGGTAGTGAACGTGTTAAGAGCAAATTATTACTCCTATGATTACAACTGTTACTACTTCAGTTAAATAACAACAAGACTGAATCTTAATAATAAAATAATAATGGTGTGTTTATATTATCAGGCCTTTAATGTTACTGTATTAAGAAAACAATACTTCAATTTACCGATTGCCATGTTTAATGTTTGCCACATCAATTGTGTTGCTTGCGTGTAATGGCAAAAGAAAACTCAAAATAATTTATACCGGTACTGTTATTAACTAACTTTTAACATGTAGGCCTAATGTAGGCCTAATAACCTTTTCAGAAGGTAAATCTAAATACCTCTAATACACATGAAACATATTTACACTATGTTCGCCTATTGAGTTTCATGATAGATTGTCCAATTGAAATAGATCACAACTAATACCATATTTCATATAGGCCTACTGTATAAATGTATCGTCCCATAAGTAAACAATAAATATGTTTCTTCAAGTGTCTTTGGGCGTATTTTTATTCATTTTCTTTAAGTAGAATTCCACAAATTTACAAAAAATTAAATATAAACATAGGTTTTGCAATCCCGTTAATCCCAGGATTAAAAGACGCCAATCCTGGGATTTCTAGGTATCAAAAACTGACTGGGATTTGGGAGCCCGGGATTGAAACCCCTACAAGTGACACAAAAGAATAGAACCACCTCAACTAGGGGACTTGGCTATATTAGTAGAAGAAGATAACCAAAAAAAAATGCATGACCTCTTGGACAAATATCAGCCATTTACCCAAGTAAAGATGGTGTTATAAGAGTTGTGGACATAAAAACAACCAAAGGTACATTCCAGCGCCCACTTACCAAGGTCGCAGTTCTTGGTTGAGGGGGGGGGGGGAGGGAGAAAATGTAATAATCCATGCCTGCCTTTTTTCTTTATTTTAATTGAACTAACATATGTTTTATTCATTATTTATGATTTGGTAAACATTGTCCATTTTGTCAAATATGTATCAAGTCTGTTAATTAATAATTGTCCTTTTTTATGTCTTGTCTGTCTTGATATTTTTAACAGTATTGCTGTATTAAGTGGTATAATTTAATTACTTTTTCAGCCTCAGAGGGCAGAAGACAGTGTGCCATATGTTCAACAAGCGTCAATGACACCCAATTCATCAAGTCAGGTAATCTATTTCTGAAATAAACTATGTCAAATTATTTATATTTTATGTAAGAAATCCTACTCTGACACACATTTTTAATTGTTAAGATTTTTTACAGCTAGTTTTAATTAGTAAATTTTTAAATCTTTGCTGTTTGTAAATGATTAACCTAAATATATTATTCATTTTTCATATGTTGTAATTTTGTTTTAATTTTTTTGCAAATTTATTGCACATTTGAAAAAGATACAAATTAAAAATTAACCTAATTATGTGAGGAAATACTAATAATACCATATAGGTATAGCATTAATTTTTGGTATTGAATAGTAATCCACTTTTAGTTTGATACATTTGATTTGCTTCCCTGTATTATATTGCTGTACATTGGCTTTTTTTATTTATGTAATGGATACTTATTTTTCCAGACCTCCAATGATAAACCTAAGCTTTCAGAAGCGTTGAAAGCATGTAATGACATCCTCAAAGAGCTCTTTTCAAAAAAGCACTCAGTAAGTATGATTAGTACAAACCCATGCAGAACCCAGTAGTAGCCATACTGTTTATTGATGCATTCATCCTTTTCTCTGTGAGTTTACCAACTTAATCCAAGTGTGTAGGCCTACTATAGTCAGTTCACAAAATGTAGCCTAGGCGGTTTGAGGGGAAGTTCCCCCACTACATCGTTTTTGCTTATTGCACTGATTGACGTTTTGGCAAACCTAAGCTACTGAGCTGATTACTACTGCTGATTACTGTTTTTAAAGTGGAGGGGATAGATTTCTTCCCCCAAAACCGCCTTAATTTTGTGAATGGGGTATAAGATGTTTGTCATTGAATTTAAGGTACAAAGTAAGAACTGGCCAACCAAGACATTTCTTTTCCAGCCGAGTAACCAATATGACATAATGTTTTAAATTCTATTAGTGTGAAGTTAAACAGAGATTGCCTATCCCAAAATGTAGCACAACTTACCAGTATTATTTATACAATAATAAAGTAACAACTTAGTTAAGAATTTATTATAAAGAAACTTTGTTTCAGCTTATGTTTCAAATCAATGTTCTGGTTTAAGTTAGATTGTTTTTTCTCTATCTAGGGATATGCTTGGCCTTTCTACAAGCCAGTAGATGCTGAGTGGCTCGGTCTACATGATTACCATGAAATTGTCAAGAAACCCATGGATCTTGGCACAGTGAAAGTAAGACAACCTCTCATTCTATACCCATACAAGGCTACAGTGTAAAAAAATACCCAGGTTGGAGAACACCTAAATACCAACCGTAATTATGGTAAACAAGTTCACGAAAAAGGAAAAGCTCAGATATATGGGGACTGTACAGATACAGTGGAATTGATGAAAACTTGTGATCACAAAGAATTGTTTTGATTCATTCTCTTCATTATTAAAGAGTAATCGTCTAATCTCTGATAGGCTATATAAATGTTTTTGCTCGACAGTTCATTTAAAAATAAAAAATCAATTGATAAAATATAGTGGATTAAAATAAAGAACTTAGTAAACTTGGCTCTTAAACAAATTTTTTTAAATTTTCAGACGAAGATGGACAACCGAGAATACAGGACGGCCCCTGAGTTTGCTGCTGACGTTAGATTAATATTTACCAATTGTTACAAGTATAACCCACCTGACCACGACGTAGTTGCAATGGGAAAGAAGCTCCAGGATGTTTTTGAAATGAGGTATATTTCTTCAAACAATTGTTTGGCTATGAATACACTACATCTGCTTGTACTTTATCACTTTTCCTAGAACTTTGCAGACGCATATTACTATTGCGATGGTAAAAGCTCGGCTTGATTTTCCGGCTGTGTGCTCCGCTCTCTCGAGCCTGTAGGACTCTTGCAAATCTCTGTATTGACCCATTAGTCAGATGATGCTTTGGAAAGTGTTTTACATAGTCTAGTTGTGAAAAACATTTCATGGTTTCAAGATACTTCTTTTGTCCCATTAATTTTAAATTTATGATATCGCACAAAAAGCTTTGAGGAGTAATCAACAAACCACTAAACACCATTGAACTTAAAATTTAAAAAAATCTGATCTATAATTTTTTGTTCTTTTTAATATATTTAAATATACTACAATTCTTTGGGTCAAGATGCTATTAGATATGTGTTTTGGTTACCTTCATTAAATTAAGCACGTTGAGGTTAAGAATTTTAGCATCAAGACTAAGCGGATGAGGATTTATAGATGACTAGCAGAGTACCCGTCCTTCGAACGAGGTTGACGTACAAGTATGCTTATTGCAGTTATACTCGTGCTTTGCGTTTGCAATGGGAGAGGACTCGTTTTAAGAAAAGTTTGTTTACTATAATTCACGGTAAACTATTACAGTATATTTCTATCATGACACATCAGCACCACTTTAATAGCTCTCTAGGTCACATTTTCTTTCCATTGCAAAGCACGGGTATAGCAGCTTGTAATTTTTTAAGTTGAGTACTCAATGTTATTTAAATGGGTTTCATTACTTCACTGAGTGAGTGAAGTTGTATACATCACGCTCGGGATAGGGAAGTTTAACATGGCGGGTTAGGTAAAGTAAATTTATATAAGGCACTTACCTCAACTGAACCTTAAATAATGATAAATATAGTAACAAAAACAAAAGCACATCTCCCATAGCCATAATGTTGTACCACTGCATCTAAACAATAGAAAAAAGAAAAAAAGTTAAGTTCTCACAGCTTTGTTGCTTTGTTGCTGCTTGGTTCAAATTAGCTGTTGTCATAAATGTAAAAAGAATTAATAGTGCTGCACCCTGTTGGTAAACCTTATAACCTTTTAATGCTATTGAATATCATAGAATTTACTTGTGTAGTAGGAACAGCTGGCAAAATTCCTTAATTCCCTTTGAATATGAATTCTCATAAGGTTAACATGGGAAACTCTAGAGCCACTGGGACGGAGCCCGCAAGGATTTTTGAGAAAAAATATGTCTATATGTTAATCGGGAATGTGAGCTATCATTACACCAAATTTCAGCCCAATCCGACCAGTATTTTACGCGTTTACTTGTCACAAACATACATACATCCATACATCCAAACTTTCTCATTCATAATATTAGTAGGATAACAGACTCATCTGATTAGAATATAGTCAACCATGGTACAAAAAACGAAAAAACACAAACAAATCTTAACACTTAACACAACAATTAGAATATGATAATGTCACTGACGGCTAGGGATGGACGGGTTTGAATTTTTATGATCATGATTCGCGGGCACGGCGTGATTGTCAGTATGACTCCGTGGTTACAGCACGACTGCGAAATGTCTGTGGTCACGGCGCGATGGTCGAAATGACTCACGGTCCTGGTGTGATCGTCGAAATGACTCGTGGTGGTCACAGCGCGTTTTAATGACTCTCGGTCTCGGCGAGATCGTTGGTATGAGTCACAGTCACAGTGCGATTGTCGAAATGACTCTTGGTCAGAGCGTGATCCACGGTATGACTCCGCGGTCATGGTGCGATCATCTTAATGACTCGCATTCACGGCGCGATTGTCAAAATTACTTTGCCACCTGCATTCGCGGAACTATCGAGTGAACATCCCTTGCGATAGCGGCAAAATCGCCGACGATCGGATCAAATCCCGTCCAGAAAAATTCCGGAATCAAATGTAATCCCGTCTCGAAAATCAGAAAGATTTTTTCCCCTAAAATTTCCCTAAACTTTGGGACCCGTCCATCCTTACTGACAGCATTTCCAATCAAAGAAAGTGGGAGTTGGGAAGAGATACGTCTTCAGGTCCAATAGTGGCCGAGAAGTCACCTCTTTACCATTCAGGTAGGCCTGCTATTCTGAAAAAATCCTTAAAACAACATTTAATACATTTAGGAGTTAAGGAAAGTCCAATTGGCTGATTAGGATTATTATGTACGAGGATAGGGATCAGCTAGCTTACCTGATAGATAGAGTCCAGATTAGCCTTGAATACACATAAAACACATGACACAACACAGAAAAACTTAATATTTCGTCCCAGTTAGGGACTTCATCAGAAGGGAGAAGAGACCTTGGTTTTCTTTCTTCTCCCTTCTGATGAAGTCCCTAACTGGGACGAAATATTATGTGTAAAAAAATATTATGTGTGTGTTTTATGTGTATTCAAGGCTAATCTGGACTCTATCTACCAGGTAAGCTAGCTGATCCCTATCCTTGTATTTAATGCATTTAAAAATTTTTTCTCTTTCAATGGTATTGGGTTGTACCACTAGGTGTCAGTTTAGCATGTTTGATGTTATAGGTTTGCCAAGATCCCTGACGAGCCAGCACTGGCCGCCGGGGCTCTAGTTGCTGTTGAACCTAACTCAACCAGTTCCTCTGGGTCTTCCTCTGGTTCGGATTCAGAGTCAGATGATTCTGAAGATGAACGAGCAAGGAAACTTCTGCTTCTTCAAGAACAGGTGATTAACCTTCCATGTCTTTTATATTGTTTTATATTTCTCTTGTTGTCTTTGTATTTTGCATAGCAATTATACTTTGCTATTTAAAAGCTGAACAACCTTTTTGATTAAATATTTGGTATTAGAAATATTAATGTCTTATTTGTATTCAAACTGTTATAATGTTTTGTACAACAGTTTTATGAATCTGTTTATCGTAATGAAAAAGATTTTATGTCAGTGGAAGTAAATCACTGCCCTTAAATTGCAGTTTTTACTAATGTTAATTACTTTTGGTTTACATCATAGCCTACAACAAATACATAGGTACATATTATTACATTAATTTGTTTTCTATACCTATTACAGCTTAAAGCGATGCAGGAGCAAATGAGAAAGTTGTTAGAAGAAAGCAGTCATAAAAAGAAAAAGAAGAAACACAAGGAAGGATCTAGTAGCAGTGTCGGGACAAACTCGAGTAAAAAGAGTAAAAAACCGAGTAGTGCTGATAGATCGTCAGTGAAAAGTGTTGGGGGTGTGCTTGTGAACGATACTGTGGGTGCTAATATCACAAATGTTCCGCTGGGAACGGACATGAAGCCCGTGCTGGACAAGGGTAGTACGCTTGTGGGGGCTAGGGCTCCTCCTGTCGCGCCCCCGCCAAGCAAAGGACCTAAGAGCAAAGGGGGTGCCAGAGGTAGTGGGAAAGGAGCAAACGCACAAAGTAAACGGCCTAAAGCCAACTCCAGGTCGACAAATTCTAAGAAAAAGAATGCTGTATCATTATCTACGTTTGATTCTGAGGATGAAGACAACGCCAAACCTATGTCTTACGATGAGAAGAGACAGCTTAGCCTGGATATCAACAAACTACCTGGTGAGAAATTAGTAACAAGAACTTAAATACTGAATAATAACTAATATTCTTTTATAAAATAATAAAACTTGGGGTAAAGTGTTACAAAAAAATTTAGACAAAAGTTAAATGGATTGTGTGGATGTATTTTTTCTTGGAATAATATCAGTAATATGGTTATTTTAGGCTATGTTACAGTAGACCCCGCTTATCCAGCCCTGTTACGTAGACTATTCCGGATAACAGTTTTTTTGTTGTTAAACGGACGTCCCTAAAACTCATTTAGGCTAGTTATAAATTTCTAATGAATACTATATTTTAAGCCAATAATTTTACTTACTGCTGGGGCGCTCCAATAATTTTACTAAGTAAAAATAGTAAAACAATACAAGTAGTCTCTGTATGATCCCAAATCTTTCTCACGAGAAACGTCGTTTCAGTACCGCCCACTTTCTGTCGATCCAGTCCGGTTGAACCAATGTGCTGATAAAAATTGTCCGGTTAAAAGATGTCTGTATAAGAGGGAGTCTACTGTACTCTATATTTATGCCATAGTTTTTGACCTTTAAATGTTATTAGAGCTAGGACGTTTTCCTTTATAATCAAACTGTGGATTTCTTGTACATCGTTATGTTATGTGACACATATTTTTGTTATAACTTTTTTATTACTTAAGATACAACTTTTTACCTAATAACCTTTTATATTGGCCATATTCTTTTGATTAAAATGACGTTTTTACCGGTGTCACATTCGTACCGTTATCGAGATATAGTCGTTTCAATGCATAGAGCGTTTTGTATCTTGTCCCCCTCCCCCCAAGATCTCGACCACCTGAAAAGTAGGCGACATGCGTATTTTTTATCACCACACAGTCCGTATTATAACTATCAGCAAAGATATTTGATATTACTTCTTTGCGACACTCACAAACTAAATGTACTTTCGGTAAAAAAATACAAAAAACAGTTGATTTTTACACATTTTATACACTTACTTGTTTATTATATAATTTATTATATTAAATGACTGGCTTATTTTGAAAATGACATTAAATTTTAAATAAAAACAATTTTTAGTGCACTTATGGCCATTTTATGTAAGAAAATACAAATATTTTGAAAAAATCTTAATTTTCTGTTATTCCCTATTTGTTAATTATAACTATTCATTGCTACTCTTCTTTAGGGGCAGTTCATTGACTGAACTTGGAACAAATCATATGAAATTTAAAATGTTGGGATTTGTTTATCTATTAACCAAGGTGTTAAACCGTAATTGAAGGATTTGGCAAATTTTTCACATATTTCGGGTGGATGAACCTAGTTTCGTCTCTTACAACAAATAATAAGTGGATCATTCCTTCTCAGATACTTTTTGTTGATTTATTTTAAATCTTTTGAATCTAATATTTGTAAAAATCATTTTTGAACTATTGGGTTTTGCCATTTTTCTACAAATGAATACTCAAGGATGAATTAATTATCAGTAATAGCCTATTCCTGAATTTTAAAATTTAAGTCTTCCTTTTGTTTTAAGTTGGATTTATATCTTTAAAGCCTTAAAATATATTACACCCTTAAAATGTTGGATTACCATTCCACCATTAATATCTAACTAAGAGCATTTCTGTAAGTTGTGTTGGTAGTTGGGAGTGTTGCATTTTATATAACTTGGTTGTTTTTAGGTGATAAATTGGGTAGAGTTGTTCACATTATCCAATCTCGAGAACCATCGCTTAGAGACTCGAATCCGGACGAGATTGAGATTGACTTTGAGACATTGAAGCCTTCCACACTGAGGGAACTAGAGTCATACGTCGCCACCTGTCTTAGGAAAAAGCCACGTAAGCCTTACTGTAAGTTGTTATGCTGCCTGCTGGTGGAAAGGGTGCATCGGCACACGTTTTTAATTAAACTTATTTTAAATATAGCCTATTTATTATAAACACTACATGCAATAGCCTAAATTAAAATAATTTAGTTTTGAACATTTTAAGTTGTCTAAACATGTTTTTTTTTTTATTGCTAAGGTTAACAAAACTTACATTTTTGTTAAAGGACTATAGATTTTATCGGTTGAAAAACTGTTGGTAGTAGGAATGCACATTATGTAAACTTCAGAACAATAAGGTAACTAATCAATATCTTGGAAATAATGTCTAGCTCCTTTTGTTTAGTGTGCGTTACCCCTTCAAACTTAGCATATGAAAGAAGGTTTGTTTTTGAACTCTTTTTGCAAAAAATATAAATTTAAATGTGTTACTCCATTTGAACCATAGACCTATATCAATTAATACTGTACTGGTATTTTGAAAGAATGCCATACGTTGTAACAACACTGTTAAAGTTTCTATAGTTTGTAATAAATTATATATTTCTTAGAAAAATGCTGCTCTTTTACAATTTATGCAGGTATATTTTGTGTTTAGTTTCCCCCTTTACATTTGAATAAAAAATCTCTGTTCTTCATAATTTTTCCCATGTCTTAAATCTCTTCTATTCTGAAAGCAGGAAAATATCTTAAAGGGCCTGGATTTGAATATGTTATCTCAATTGCCAAATAGAAAAAAATCCATCTTACAAAAACAGTAATTTTTAAATACCAAAGTGGTTAGGAGACTCGTGTGTTGATGTACCTGAGCATGGCCATTCTTCAAAGCCTGTCCAACCCTGATCTTTTGCCTCTTTCCAAAAATTAGAAGCTGCTTGTTAAACTTTAGCATGACAAGACTCTTGTCTCCTCTGTCTTTGCACTAAAATCCACCAATCTTTTAACACACTATTAACATTAGCTAGCCAGCACAGTTCCAACTTACGACTTTGATCTGATTGCGTCTCGTAGTTGACCTATGAACCTCACGTTTCCCTTTATTTCTTCACCGCATATAACTTTATCTAACTATCGCATGGTTATTGTAAGCTTTAGTTACATGTGCATGTTGCCCTAGTAGTTGTTAGTGTGTAGTATCTGTCATCATTTGATTGTTTATATGAAATATAAAGTTGAAAAAATGTGTTGATTTTTCAGGTTAAGTGCTAAGGGTGTATTTTTTCAAGTAGATTTTTTTAAGGTATTCCTAATTTCTGTTAGTAAAATGTTTGAAAACTATTCAGACCATCAGATTAACACAATATCGTATAAGTAACTCTTCCACCCCCTGCTAGTCAGATTGTAGAACCATATTTATCAAAAGAGCGGGGAAAAGACAGTTATAATATCTTACCAAGTGTGGTCGCTCGAATGTTTCAAGTCACAACCTATAGCCCTACATTGGCTTTCTTGAAAACAGACTTTAAATTCAAAGGAATACATTTTGTGTGCATAAAAGAAACAGCCTCTGTCTACCATCTTCTTGAGGATTTTATCGAGACTTTCAAGAGATAAAATAATAATGTTAACATCAACTTTTAAACAATTTTGTGACATTATATAAGCTTAACAACCTCCTTAAAGGAAGGAGTTAACCTAAGAAGCAGCCCTCCAAAAAGAGGATCAGAAACAGAGAGTTCAGAGCTGTTGTCTGGACAAATTTTTGTTAAAAAATCAAACCTATTCTGGTGTGGACCCTTTACCAAGAATGCATCAAATGGTAATAATATATTGTTTTGCTGATAATGGTTGAATAGTGTTTTTTGTGTTTTGAACCTTCAACGCTCCTCTTCAGGGAAGATTAGTTATAGTTCTTATGCCAATCTGATGATGGCGCTCGCGCCGAAATGCGCCTAATCGAGAAGGTCGAACCTTGGACCACAAGGCGACAGTCAGGTATTTTAACCTCTTTATTTATTGTCAATCAATTGCTCTGGAAACACCACAACAAAAAATGTTGTAAGCTAAAACTTGGTCTTAACATATTTCTTATCTACCCACCTAATGTACAGGATAGTGATGAGTCAAAACCAAATCTCAAAACCATCAAAACTTTGGAAAAGTTTCGGTTCCGAGATTCGATCACCGAGTTTCGAGATTCAAAAGTTTTGAAATTGAAGATTTTGGCAGTTTTATTTTAGAGTCTACAGACATTTTTTGCATCATTATTATTATCTTTAACACTTTCGCTGCTACGGACGTTCCGGAACGTCAAACGGGCCACGGCGCCAGGAGCTAGGAACGTTCCGGAACATCGCCGTTCATTGTTGTTTAACGTTACCATGGATCAGCCAGCTCGTCACGAGCGTAATATTATTTCTTTGCAGCTCAAGGGGACGTACTTTTCTGACAATAAAAAATATTGTTTCCCAAAATCACCACCAGGGTCGTTTGGAACAGGGCTTATACCCACCTATTTCCTGCTAGATAGCGACACTACTTTACCTACTGCAACCTGGGTAGTGCTGCTATCTATCAGAATCACTTAGTACTATGTCCAAAGCCAGTTTTATTGCAGAACATTGCCATCCAGTATAGCTACTCAGGGTGTCCACCGAACGGGAAATCTGGGAAAACCGGGAATTATTAATTTCATTATGCGTGATTTTTTTTAACCGGGAAAAAACCGGGTATTATGCGTGAATTTTGTATTTAACCGGGAATTTTTTGCCGCGACCGCGGGAAACGACGATGACGTTTCCGAGACCGCGGGAGACGACGTTTGACGTTCCCGTGACCGCGGGAGACGACAATGACTTTTCCGTGACCGTGGGAGACGACGATGACGTATCCGTAATCGCGGAAGACGACGATGACGTATCTGTAATCGCGGAAGACGACGATGACGTTTCTGTGACCGTGAGAGACGACGATGGCGTATCCGTGATCGCTGAAGACGACGATGATATCTCCGTGACCACGGGAGACGACGATGACGTTTTCGTGACCGCAGGAAATGATAATGTCCAAAAATATTGCTTGAAATGATGACTGCGGGAAATTATTTGAATTAAGCTACGATCGAGGAAGATTATGATAACTTTACTGGGGTCGCCGGAATTGTACCCCCCTGGAATTGTACCCCCCGGCGATCGTTGACGTCATTTTGACGTCACGCCTAGAGGGGGTACAATTCCACCCCGTACACTTTGATTTTAACGAAATCTAATCTATTTAATGTGGGTAAGTGATCAGTGAACCGGATAGTTATATTAGATATAAAAAAGAGCAGGAGATGTACGGCCCGGAATTGTACCCCCTGGAATTGTACCCCCCGGAATTGTACCCCCTGCCAACATCAAAATATTTATGTACGGGGTGGAATTGTACCCCCCTGGAATTGTACCCCCCATCAGAAAGCCAAATGTGTACGGGGTGGAATTGTACCCCCCCCCCCCCCCCCACTCAATAAACCTACTGTAATTGGTATTATGAAAATGAAGTAGTAGAGAATGCCTTCTACAGTGACATATGTTGGATTTTCAAACCTGTACAGAATATAGTGATTGTACCAAGGAACTATAATTGCGAAGAGATTATGAAAAAATCTGGCTTCGCCACTTTACTTCGCCTCGGGCTATATATTGTTTTATTTTCCTTAAACCATGAACAACTTGAACACATTATTGCTTAGTCTGTTTTACTGTAATACTTTTTATACACTATTATCTAATAACATAAAACCTGATCATAAAATTTTACTTATTTTATGAAGTCTCCTTCAAACTTTGAAAATACACAAGACGAAGCCACAATCACATCATAGGTCAACGCTTTTTCTAAAAGGCTATTAAGCAAACAGCAATGCAAGCCCGAAGAAATAGGGATTATTGTAAGAGCCATGACCTTCGGGAATGATTCTTCGTAAGCAACAAATCGCTCACAAGTGAGTGAAAGGGTTTCCGGTCATCTCAGAACCGATTTGGTCTCAAAAATGCACTGAATTCCCGCACTGCGTACTCATTACACAAGCATTCAGCCATTGGTGACATGGTTGTGACACAAACACAGGCAAAAAGCGCTCAACTATATACAATGAAAATTAATGTCTACATACATACATACATTAAATGTGAGTAAAATGTAAGTGTGTGTCATTGTGTTAAATGTGTATGCTATTTTATTAATTATTGCTTAAGTGTACGTATTATGGTACATATTAATTTGAGGTTAGCTTGTATCACAATAATTATGTTACACATATTATCCAACCCCATACTAAGTCTTGTAGGCTACTCTGTTTATTTATTATATAAACAATCGCTGTAATGTGTTTAAGAGTGATAGTGGAACATTACATTTTTTACCTATATTGTTAACGTTATAAGTAGTTTATTTACATTGTTATTATTTTGTATTAAATCGGTTTAATAAATTTATTCCATCGCGATAGATAGATAGATCGATAGAGGGATAGATAGAAGGATAAATAGATAGTTAGATGGGTGGATGGATAAATGCATAGAATTTCTCTGAATAATATAGTTAACGTAGCCGTTATTGTACAGAATGTCTTCTTCAAGTTTGTTTAGGAGTTTTTGATTTATTATCCTGGCTTTCGTCCAAGTACACATCATACAGATATTAGTAACATTGAATATTTATCGTAAACATAATTGTAAATTAATTTGTTTGGACCGTTGGAAGCAAAATGAATAAAATAAATAAATAAATACAGTTAATACTAGGTAGTAAACGCATCGTTGATTTAAGTATGCATCCTTACTTCAGGGATAGACGTGGGTTTACATTTTGGATAGTTAACTTATTCAAAATATAATGTTAATCTACGTCTTTACATGTTTACAGAGCTTCTTTGAAGACTGTGTTATAAACAATGTGGTCATATATGTTGTTTTAATGGCTTTGCTATTATACAGACATAGTTTTCACTGAAAAATTGCACCCAGCAAAGCCACAAACAACTTGGGTAAAAAGAAATAATTTTGTTTTAAAGAAAAGAAACATATTCTTTTGAAATGACTT